AGGTTTATTTATTTGAAAGGTAGAGTTACAGAGAGGGAAAGGCAGAGGCAGAGAGATCTTCCATCTGCTGGCTTATTCCACAATATGTCTGCAATGGCCAGGGCTGGACCAGGCCAAAGCCAAGAGCCAGGAGCTTTCTCCAGGTCTCCCATATGGTTACAGGGGCCCAAGCACTTGGAACCATCTTCTGCTGATTTCTCAGGTGCATTAGCAGGGAGCTGAATGGGAAATGGAGCAGCTGGGATTTGAACCAGAGCCCATATGGGATGCTGGCGCTGTAGGTGGTGGCTTTACCTGCTGACCCTTCTTCTTTTTAAAAGATTTATTTATATTTATTTATTTATTTGAAAGGCAGAGTTACACACGCACACACACACACACACAGAGTCCGTCCCTAGTCCCCAGAACGGTCCCTGGCACACAGCACAGTAGGTGCCCACGAAGTGTCTGCTGAGCGATGACGAAACCACAGTCACAGGAGGGCAGCGGGCAGAGGCCGCACTCACCTGCTAAGCTGCAGAAGCTTCCTTGCTGTCAGAACCTGGCCAGGTTCATGACAGCTTCTGAGCCCCATGCGCATTGTTTGCTTTTTTTTTTTTTTTAAAGATGTATTTATTTATTTGAAAGGCAGAGTTACAGAGAGGCAGAGAGATGTCTTCCATCCATTGGTTCATTCCCCAAATAGTTGCAAAAGCCAGAGCTGGGCCGATCCGAAGCCAGGAGCCAGGAGCTTCTTCTGGGTCTCCCACGTGGGTGCAGGGGCCCAAGCACTTGGGCCATCTTCTGTTTTCCCAGGCACATTATCAAGGAGCTGGATTGGAAGTGGAGCAGTTGGAACTTGAGCTGGCGCCCATATGGGATGCTGGCACAGCAGGCCAGGGCTTTACGCCACTACACCACAGTGCTGGCCTATTTGCTTTTTGATAGGCCACAGTGCCCAGGGTTGGCCTGGACTCTTCCAAATCCTTGACAAAGTCTTTACTTGGTTTAACTTTGGTCAGGCTTCTGAACCTCCTCCTAAGACCATCTGTGCATTTCATTGTAACATCCAGTTTGGGGCCAGTATTGTGGTATAGCAGGGTAAGCTGCTGCCTGCAATGTTGGCATCCCGTATGAGCACTGGCTCAAGCCCTGGATGCTCTACTTCCCATCTGGCTCCCTCTAATGTGCCTGGTAAAGCAGTAGAAGATGACCCAAGTATTTGGGTCCCTAACACCCACTTGGGAGACCTGGGTGGTGTTCTGCGCTTCTGACTTCGACCTGGCCCTGCCCTGGTTATTGCAGCCATTTAGGGGGTAAACCAGAGGATGGAAGGTTTCTTTGTCTCTGTCTCTCCCTCTCTCTTTGTAATTCTGCCTTTCAAATAAGTTAAATAAATTTTTAAAAAATGCATTGTTTTTAAAAAAGATTTACTGGAGGCCGGTGCCATGGCACAGTGGGTTAAAGCCGCTGCCTGCAGGACCAGCACCCCATATGGGCACCGGTTCAATTCCCAGCTGCTTCTCTTCCAATCCAATTCTCTGCTATGGCCTGGGAAAGCAGTAGGAGATGGCCCAAGTCCTTGGGCCCCTGCACCTGTGTGGGAGGCTTGGAGGAAGCTCCTGGCTCCTGGCTTTGGATTAGCTCAGCTCTGGCCATTGCAGTCATTTGGGGAGTGAACCAGCAGAGTGGAAGACCTCTTTCTCTCACGCTCCACCTCTCTCTGTAATTTTTTCAAATAAATAAAATGATTCTTTAAAAAATTTACTTATTTGAAAGGCAGAGTTAGAGAGAGGCACACAGAGAGGTCTTCTATCTACTGGTTCACTCCCAAAATGGCTGCAATGACCAGGGCCAGGCCAAGCTGAAGCCAGGAGCTTCTTCTGGGTTAAGATGACCCAAGGACATGGGCCATCTTCCGCTGCTTTCCCAGGCACATTAGCAGGTAGCTGGATAGAAAGTGGAGCAGCTGGGATTCAAGTCAGTGCCCATATGGGATGCTGGCATCACAGGTGGCAGCTCTACCCACTACACCACAATGCCAGCTCCTACATCCAGTTTTAGTAAAATAACTGTGCTAAATCAGCTTAGCCACCCCGATCACCCTGGCCTGTCTTTCCCCAGAATCTTTTAGGTTGGCTTAGCCAAAATCCCCCTTACCCCTGATGTTTCCTTTTAATTTTCCATCCACTAACACCTCCTCCCCAGTCCTGCTCCTTAGCTGTGAGTTCCCATTTTCCCATACTGTGTTTGCAGTTGAGCCCAACCTCTGCCCCACTGCAAGGACTCCACTGCAGTGGTCCCGGTACTCCCCTCAGTGGTCCTGAACGAAGTCTGCCATACTGTGCCCCATCAAGCGTCACTGATTAGTTTATCCGGTAACATCCCCTCCCTGCTTTTCCGCAGTCACAGATCGGGTTGCCCTGGATTCTGTACGGTGCATATCTATCTCTTGGCCGGGTTTATCAGTCCTGAGGAGGGGGAGCTGGATCTGAAGTGGTCCCTGCTGTGCCCCCAGGGTCAGGCAGCTCAAGTCAAGGTCTTTGCTAGACATAAATAGCTATGTGCTGTGAACCCTTGCCAGAGACAGCTCTCCCTCCTCTGCCTTGGGAGAGTAGTCCAGAGCTGGTGTTGAGTTCTGGTCCAATGGGCTATCCGAGTTATCATTTCCTTCCGCTTAAGTTGCTGACTCAGACCACAACGCTTGTGTGATACTGTGAAATACACATTTGGTCTTCAACCCGCGGTTCCTAAAACCCTTGGCATCTCTAGAGTGATGAGTTTCTTTTGTCTGCTGATGAGATTGCTGGTGGCAGTGACCTGTAGTTGGCTTTGGGATGGGGGATGGTCACCAGAAAGACCCAGGCATGAGTCAGCTTCCTGTTGATGGAATGAAATACCTGAGGCGGTCTACTTGAGAAGCAGCTCATGGTTTTGGAGGCTGAAAGCCCATACAACACAGCCGAGGCTCTGTCAAGGGCACCCCCACCCCCTTGGCTGCGATGGTTGGAGACCCTGTGACAAAGGATTACATCTTTTTTTAAAAAAATTATTTATTTATTTGAAAGTCAGAGTTACACAGAGAGAAAAGGAGAGGCAGAGAGAGAGAGAGAGAGAGAGGTCTTCCATTCACTGGTTCACTCCCCAGATGGCCACAACAGCTGGAGCTGTGCTGATCTGAATCCAGGAGCCAGGAGCTTCTTCCAGGTCTCCCGCGCGGGTACAGGAGCCCAAGGACTTGGGCCATCTTCTACTGCTTTCCCAGGCCATAGCAGAGAGCTGGATAGAAGTGGAGCTGCCAGGACTCGAACCAGTGCCCATATGGGATGCCGGCACTGCAGGCAGCAGCTTTACCCACTGCGGCTCAGTGCCAGCCCCAGAGGATTACATCTTGAAAAATGAAGGCTGAGACAGATTCAGCGGTCAGGTTCAGGATTTTTTTTTTATACTCCAGAATACCAGTATTCCCTTCCAAGGCAGTGCCCTCAATGACCCAATGATCTTCCAAGAGGGCTCACCTATTTTTAAATATATGTATTTATTTGAAAGAGTAACAGAGAGAAACACAGACACACACACACACACACACACACACACACACACACATCTTCCATCTGTTGGTTCACTTCCCAAATGGTGACAACAGCCAGGGCTAAGCTAAGCCAGGCCAGGCTGAACCTGGGAGTCCAGAACTCCATCTGGATCTCCTACTTTTTGATAGCAGGAGCCCAAGCACTTGGGCCATCTTCTACTGCTCTTCCAGGTGCATTAGCAGGCAGCTGGATCAGAAGTGGAGCAGCTGGGGCTGGCGCTGTGGCGCAATGGGTTAAAGCCCTGGCCTGAAGCGCCAGCATCCCGTGTGGTTGCTGGTGCTAGTTCCGGCTGCTCCACTTCCCATCCAGCTCTCTGCTATGGCCTGGGAAAGCAATAGAGGATGGCCCAGGTCCTTGGGCCCCTGCACCCACATGGGAGACCTGGAAGAACTCCTGGCTCCTGACTTTGGATTGGCGTAGCTCTGGCCGTTGCAGCCATCTAGGGAGTAAACCAGCGGATGGAAGACTTCTCTTTCTGTCTCTGTCTCTCTCTGTAACTGTCTTTCAAATAAATAAAATAAATCTTAAAAAAAAGTGGAGCAGCTGAGACTGGAACTGTGGCTCCAACATGGGATGCTGGTATCACAAGCGTTGGCTTAACCCACTGGGCCACAACACTGGTCTTGAGGCTTCACCTCTCCAAAGTCCATCACCTCCCACCACCAACCACACTGAGGAGCAAGCCTCCGACACACGAACCACTGGGGAGACAGACCACAAGCAAACCGTGACCGCACGGTTAGAGAACTGGAACTGGCCACTCCACACTCAACTTCTGGGGAGTGGAGAGGAGCTGAAGGCTACGCTGATCATCGGTGGCCAGCGATTTAATCATGCCTGCATAATGAAACTTCTGTAAAACCCCCAAGGCCTGAGTTCAGCGTGCTCCCAGAGAGCTGAATACATGGAGGTTTCTGGATGGTGGTACCCAAACAGGGCATGGGAGCTCTGTGCCCTCTTTCTCCTCCCTTGCCCCGTGTATCACCTGTTTCTTTTGTAATATCCTTCATAGGAAGTGGGGGAAACACAAGCACGGCATTTGCTTGAGTTCTGCTGGCTGCTTAAAGAAAGTAATGGAATCTGTTAGAAGTGTCAACCAGCTATCATGAGTATCTGAAGTAGGGGCATTCTCGTGGGACTGAATCCACCACTGTGGGATCTCCAGGTAAACTGCCAGAATTGAATTAAATTACAGGTGTCTGCTGGAGATCCTGGTGGCAAATTGATAATTGTTGTGTGTGTGGCACCTCCGCCACTCCCCCAGCCCACCACCTGCCAGCATTTGGTGTTAGAAGTGTTGTGTTCAGTGTTAAGAGCAGAAAGAACACTTCTTATTTTTCCTTTCTTTTCTGATCTCAAATAGCGTGGCACTCCAAACACTGAGGAGCAACTGTTCCCGTCAGCCCAAATAACTATTTACAGCCAAGGTAAGTTACACTGTTGTATATATTTGGTGGTTTGTTCATGAGCTGGGAAGGGGATTATTTCTTAAGTAAGTACAATGCAAAAAACAAGAGGGGGACAGTGAAGATGCCCGCAACAATGCCTGAGATAGCCAAGTAGTAGGCTTGTTTGGAGGTCCTGGCTGCCTGGTCATAGTCATTCGATTGATTGTAGCGCATTGTCTGAGTTTCAGGGGAGAGGGGAAACAGGACAGGATGAGCTTAGACGGGCTAATGGACGTGGGACACTAGGGACCCACAGGACAGGCTACCACTAGGCTCCTATCACAGGAGGGAAAACAAGGAGGAAGCCAAGTCAGGGTCAGGGCCAGGGTGGGAGGGAGGCTGAGGGCTGGTGTGATGGAGTCCCACCTTGTGAGATAAGATCAAGGCTGCGAGGCCTAAGGGAAGACACCAAAGGAAGGCCGTAAGGGACAGGCAAAAGTGGTCGTTAGCCTCGGTCTCCGCCTCATCAGTCATAAGTTCAAACTCCTGGGGGTAGAGAGCAGTTAGGCCTGAGTGGGACTTCCGGGTCCTACTTCCCTTCCTACTCCATCCCCTTCTACCCTGGCTCCTGGAAAACCTTCACTGACCCCGTCCAGAATCCTCGCCCACTCCCTCTGCCTCCCGCCACGCCCCCTCTAACCTCTATCCCTTCTAACAGCTTCCTACGCCGTAGTCTTCCGGCTTTCCCCGTGAGCCCCTGTGGGGTGTCCTGTAACCTCTTCCCCACATTCTACAACCCCCCAGTATTTCTCACTTGGTCCCCTCTACTGTCCCCCAGAGTCCCCGACTCTGAGGATACTCCGTTGGCCTCCCTGAAACCTCAGCCGACCCCCCTCCCCCCCATAGCACGTCGTTCCTTGTCCCCGCCCTTGTCCCGCTCCAGCCTTCTCTCTTCCCTAAGATGAGCTTTCCTGCACACTCGAACACCTCCCCTTCTCATCCGGGAAGCATCCATGACAAGACTCATGGCTTTCTTCATGGAAGTCTCACCCTCCAGCGCCTCTGACGTCTAGCGCAGCTCTCTCCCCTGTCCCTGCCACAAGGCCCTGTGACCACTAACTGCTCCCCCGGAACCGCCCCTCCCCTGACCTCTCACGTGGCTGCTCCACGGCCTCCTGTGACCACTGTCAACCGTAACCCGCTCCGTGCGGCCCACGGCCCCGGCCCCGCCTTCCTCTCACACCTCCCTGGCCCTTCAGCTCCGCCATTCCGCCTCCCAGCCTCCCTGTTCTCCCAGGCCCGGTGCCCCTAGAAACTGTTCACAGTCACACCCTCCCCACCCGCTCAGGATGCCCCTCGCGCCCCCTCAAACGTCCCCGGGAGGTACCTGGATCTGGCACTACCAGAGCCGCAAAAGAAACGCGTAGCAGTCACAACCCACCAGGTATTACCGTGGCAATCAGGCAGGCCCTGGCGATTGGCTGGCTAGGGGGATAATGGGCTGGCGAAAGCCAATCCCCGGCTGCGAACTGGTGCGGTTGAGGGCGGGCCCTTCTGTTCTCTCGGGTGATTGGTCAGTTTGGGCCAGGTTCCGCCCTCAAAACGGAAAGAGGCGTTGTTTCCTCGACTTGCCTTGCTTCGGGCTCCTGCTGAGGGCCTTGCGGGCGTAATGGCCCCTCGCGGAGCTGAGCCGGGGCCTTGGGTCGCACCCTGGAGTGCAGTGATGCCCCTCAGTGCAGGCGGCGGAGCTGCTGCCCGCACGTCCTCGTTGGTGGGCACGTGTGCGCGCAAGTCTTGCGTGCCTGAAAAAATGGAGTTGGGGTGGACGTTTGCCCGCCTGCATCCCATCCCGAGTGCCTGGTTCGAGGCCCGGCTCGGCTTCCTGCTAACGGGTGCGCTGGGAGGCCGCAGAGGATGGCTCAAATGTTGGGGTCGCTGCCACACGGGAGACCCAGACGGAGCCCCCGGCACCCGGCTGCGGCCTGGCCCTTCGCTGGCTGCTGCAGGTATCTGGGGCGCGAACCAGCAGAAGGAAGATCTCTCTCTCTCCGCCTTTCAAATAAAGCAATTTTTTAAAAAATTGGGTTGTTTTGAGAGTCTTTTATATACATGGTTTGCACATATATTCTCATGGTCTTTTTATAACTGTAATTGGAAGAACAAAAGATTTTCATTTTAGTAAAGTCTAAATTATTATTGTATGGATGTGCTTTTGGTAGCATGTCTAAGAATTCTGCATCACCTGGGCTCAGAAAGGTTTTCTACTCAAAGTTTTATAATTTTACACGTATTTTTACTTATTTTAAAAATATTTATTTATTTGAAAGGCAGAGTTACAAAGAAGAGAGAGAGAGAGAGAGAGAGAGGGAGGGAGAGAATCTTCAGTCTGTTGGTTCACTCCCCAAATGGCTGCAGTGGCCAAGCCTGGGCCAGGTGGACGCCGGGAACCTGGAACTCCATCCAGGTCTCCCATGGAGTGTCAGGGGCCCAAACACTTGAGCTGTTTTCTGCTGCTTTTCCGTACATTAGCAGGGAGCTGGACGGATAGTAGAGCAGCTGGAACTGGAACCCTGGGCTCATACGGGATGCTGGCGGCACAGCGGTGCTTTAACCCTCTGTGCCACAATGGTGGCCCTATAATTTTTTTTAAAGATTTATTTATTCATTTGAAAGAGTCACACAGAGTGAGGAGAGACAGAGAAAGAGAGTGGTCTTCCATCTGCTGGTTCAGTCCCCAGTTAGCCGCAACGGCTGGAGCTGTGCTGATCTGAAGCCAGGAGCCAGGAGCCTCTTCCAGGTCTCCCACGTGGGTGCAGGGGCCCAAGGACTTGGACCATCTTCCACTGCTTTCCCAGGCCATAGCAGAGAGCTGGATCAGAAGTGGAGCAGCCAGGACTTGAACCGGCGTCCATATGGGATGCCGGCACTGCAGGCAGCGGTTTTACTTGCTACGCCACAGCGCCGGCCCCAGCAATAATTTTACATTTAGATTTGTGATCCAATCTGAGTTAATATAAGGTGTGAGGTTTATGATGAGACATTATTTTTTGCGTATGTTGTTATTCTAAAACCAACTTAAAAAAAAACTCACTATTTGTTCCCCAATAAGTTGCCTTTTCCCTTCTTTTGAACTAAATTTACCATGTTTATGGAAGTCTATTTATACATTCCTTATGTTGTTCTGTTAATCTGTGTGTTTACATGCTTATCAATATCTCAATGTCAAAATAGCTTTGTAGTAATTTTTTAAAAAGATTTATTTATGTATTTGAAAGGCAGAATTAGAGAGGCAGAGAGAGAAAGAGAGAGATACCTTCCATCTGCCGGTTCACTCCCCAAATGGCTGCAGTGGCCAGAGCTGGGCTGATCCAAAGCCAGGAGCCAGGACCTTCCTCCAGGTCTCCCATGTGGGTGCAGGGGCCCAAGGACTTGGACTATCTTCTACTCCTTTCCCAGGCCAGAACAGAGAGCTAGATCAGAAATGGAGCAGCCAGTATTGAACTGGTGCCCATACGGGATGCTGGCGGTGGCTTTATCCACTATGCCACAGTGCTGGCCCCATAGTAATTCTTTTTTTTTGACAGGTAGAGTTATAGACAGTGAGAGAGAGACAGAGAGAGAGGTCTTCCTTCCATTGGTTCACTCTGCTAATGTCTGCCACGGCCACTGCTGCGCCGATCCGAAGCCAGGAGCCAGGAGCTTCCTCCCGGTCTCCCATGCAGGTGTAGGGACCCAAGCACTTGGGCCATCCTCTGCTGCCCTCCCAGGCCACAGCAGAGAGCTGGACTGAAAGAGGAGCAACCAGGACTAGTACCTGGCACCCCAACTGGGACTAGAACCCAGGGTGCGGGTGCCAGAGGCAGAGGATTAGCCAAGTGAGCCACGGTGCCGGCCAGTAATTCTTAAAATTAGGTAGAGTATTCCAATTTTGTTCTTTTTCAGAATGGCTTTGACAGTGCTGTGTTTAGATCAGAGAATCTTGTTGGGATTTTAATAGGCACTGGATTAGAACTTTGTACCAATCTGGGGCCAACGTTGAGTCTTCCCATCATCTTCTCCATTTATTTAGGTCTGCTTTTATTTATTTCATCAGCAATTATAGTTTTATTATTTTATTAATTTATATAATTTTTAAAGATTTATTTATTTGAAAGTTATAGTTACAGAGAGACGGGGAGAGAGAGAGATCTCTTCCATCTGCTGGTTCACATCCCAGATGACTGCAAGACCAACACTGGGCCAGGCCAAAGCCAGAAGCTAGGAGCCAGGAGCTTCGTCTGGGTCTCCCATGTGGGTGTGGGGCCCAAGTTCCTGGCCCTCTGCCATTGCTTTCCCAGGCCATTAGCAGGGAGCTGGATCTGGATCAGAAGTGGAACAGCTGGGACCTGAACCAGCATCTAAATGGGTAAATGGGACGCTGGCAATGCAGGCGGAGGCTTTACCTGCTACACCACAACACCGACCCCAGCAATTATAGTGTTTATTTTATTTTATTTTTTTGACAGGCAGAGTGGACAGTGAGAGAGAGAGACAGAGAGAAAGGTCTTCCTTTGCCGTTGGTTCACCCTCCAATGGCTGCTGCGGCCGGCGCGCTGCGGCCGGTGCACCGCACTGATCTGATGGCAGGAGCCAGGTGCTTCTCCTGGTCTCCCATGGGGTGCAGGGCCCAAGCACTTGGGCCATCCTCCACTGCACTCCTTGGCCACAGCAGAGAGCTGGCCTGGAAGAGGGGCAACCGGGACAGAATCCGGTGCCCCGACCGGGACTAGAACCTGGTGTGCCAGCGCCACAGGTGGAGGATTAGCCTAGTGAGCCGTGGCGCTGGCCTGCAATTATGGTTTTAAAAACACATTTTGTATCCATAATTTTTTATATTTAGACCAAATTAACTTGATTTTTTGGAGCTATTGGAAGTGATGTTATTTTTATTATTTTAAAAAATCTTTAAAAATATTTATTTATTTCAAAGAGTTAGAAGGGGCGGGGGAGATCTTCTATCTGCTGTTTCACTTCCCAAGTAGCTGCAACGGCCATGGCTGAGCCAGGCCAAGGACAGGAGCCAGGAACTTCATCGATGTCCATAGGAGATGCTGGTGCCCCAAGTGGTGGCTTTACCTGCTACACCATGACACCAGCCCCTAAATGGTGTTATTTTTTAAGATTTGGTTTCTGGGGTACTGTGGCATAGCAGGTAAAACCGCTGTCTTCAGTGCTGGCATCCATATAGGCACCGGTTTGGGTCCCGCTGCTCCACTTCTGATCCAGCTCTCTGCTATGGCCTAGGAAAGCAGTAGAAGATGGCCCAAGTCCTTGGGTCCCTGTGCCGTGTGGGAGATCTGGAAATCGCTCCGGGCTCCTGGCTTTGGATCTGTGCAGCTGCAGCCGTTGCTGCCAATTGGGGAGTGAACCAGCGGATGGAAGACCTCTCTCTCTCTCTCTCTGCCTCTCTTTCTCTCTCTGTGTAACTCTGACTTTCAAATAAAATAATAAATCTTTAAAAAAAAAGATTTGGTTTCTCATTATTCATGACTAGCATATGGAAATACTGCAACTGACAATGATGCTGAACTCATTCCTACTTGAAGACAATCATGTCATCTGCAATTAAGGGTCATTTTAATTCTTGTCATAATCAATATGCGTTTTCTTTCTTTTTCTGACTTATTGTGTTGATATATACTTCCAGTTTGATGTTGAATAGAAATGATGAGATTGGACAGTTAGAACTTGCTAGGCTGTTGGGACACAAATAGTGAATTTCAAACCTTTTAGCATTGGGCGCCAAGAGATAGCCTCAAAATGACATGGGAGAATTTTATTGCCTGCTAATCCACCATTCTGGCACCAACTTTTATAAGTGCCTCTCCGGGGACTTACTGAACTGATAAAACATACATTGTAAATCAACGGCATGGAGAATCAGCTGTCAGAGGGGTCTCTGCCTGCTCGTCCCTACCTCATCGTGGTGGATGTGTCTGCACATTCGCGAGACTCCCCTCTGGACGAGGAGTTTAAAGAGATGACTGCCCACCCCCCATGGTCTGTCCAGCTGGAACCTTACCTCCCCTGCCATGCTGTCCTGCCTCCAGGAAGTCATGTCTGCCCGATGATCACCGGTGCACCTTTGGATCACTCTTTCACTGAAACCAGTGATACTGGCTGTAAATATCTCTGTGTATGTCCTTTATCCGAACGGGGACATTCTTATTCCTGGCTTGTTTTTGCTGTGAGTCCTTTTTCTGTGTCAGTCGATATGATCGCGTACTTTTCCTTCTCTAGGTGGCTAACGTAGTGACTGGTTGATCA